ATGTAACTGTCTACATGCTCTCTTATCCACTATTTATATCATGCAAATGTATATTGAGCAATTGGCTGGGATTGAAAACAGGATTTTCTTTCAAGTGTTGGTATTTCAGTGTATACTTATGTCTAGGTCTTTTGGGGTCACTTCAGAACTCAATAAAATAATGTAACAAAGTGAACATCAGAGAAAACGCCATTCCAGTGAATAACAATCAGTGGGTTCTGGGAGTCAGTCATTTCACTGTGAAGACAAGAAGGCTGGAGTCATTCTTCATGATGCTCGTTATAGATGATGTCCTTGTTCCGTGTCAGTAATAAATGAAGTTTACACATGACTTAGGGAAAACTATGTATTTATAATGCATTATAGGATATAAAAATATTCTCCAATGCATTATTTGACCCTTAAGTGCTACAGGGTACAGAGAAGTTGCTATAATACATATTTTTGCAGATGAGGAAACACAAAACTATGGGGTTTCTATGAATATGAACTAGTGCCATGTTGACCATTAGAGAGCCATAAGCACATGGGTGAAGACTGTTGGCTGATTCTAGCATTAATCATTAGGGTTGGTGGCGGATTTATCATCCCTATCATGGAATCTTGGAAAAGTTAATAGAAAACTCTTTTTAATTTCCTCATATGTACAACAGAAAAACAACAACCGTAACAATGAGTATTGTTATTAGTAGTGTTAGGACTGCTAACAGGACCAACAGAACACTTGATTCTGAAACACTACATATGGTGTTTAGCACATAGGGCTCAATGGGTTGGTTAGTGAGTTAATCATAATCTTGAGAGTTAAAAAAATATGGCAGAAAATAAACGCAATAGCAAAACAGATATTTCTGGATATCTAGCAATCAGTTATTCTTTTTTAATGTTTTGCCTTTGTATTGCTTTAATTTCCTTTACTTATTCTAGTCTCATTCAACTGAGCAAACATACTGCTATCAGAGGATTTGACTTAAAGTATAATTCATAAACCATATATGCTAAGAAGCATTAAAATATTCTCCTTGTAATAAAATACGAGCCTCTTTAGATGAAACTACGTGCACTCAGAAATCATGATGCAAATGCCAACCTACTCTTTCAACTATATTTACTATTTCTCCTTTTGTCTACTCCTACGCTCCAGCTAACTGAAATAAATATGTGGCCTCCCAACTAGTCCCTGCTCCAATTTCTCTAGGTGAAAATACTTCCTTGGCCCATTATTTGATGGTCTCCAAATTTCAAGATCTGCTTAACAGAACAGCTATTCATTAAGCCTTTCTCGATCCCCTTGAGAAGATGTATGTATCCCATTTTTATGCTACCAACTTCTTTACTATGAAAAATCATCGGGGGGAGGTGGGTACCTGGGTGGCTCTGTCCCTTAGATGGCTGACTCTTGGTTTCCACTCAGGTAATGATCTCAAGGTCCTGAAATCCAGCCCCATGTTGCTCAGCTCAGAATCTGCTTGGGATTCCCTCTCTCCCCTTCCTTCTGCCCCTTCCCCTGCTTGCTCATGCTCTTTCTTTCTCCCTCTCTCAAGTAAATAAATAAAATCTTAGAAAAATCATCTGCGTTGCATTCTCTTGACAATTTAATATATTTTATTTTCCATTCAATATTATGAAGGTGATAACTAATTAGCTTTTTAAGGTGAAAAACTTGGCAAATAATTTTGGGTTTCATTTTTCTGATCTAGCTCCTCTAAACACCCTTTCTTCTATGAAACTCCATAATCATGCTCCCCAATAGACTGCTGCCTCTTTTTTTTTTTCATCCCCAGATCACTTAGGCAGAATCCCAGTATATAGATTGTACAGGATCAAAAGACTGGCTATGCTATCAAACTTAACTCATGAGAAAGTGACAAAAAAGTACAAATTTCATAATATGACATAATAGGAATGTTTTCTTTTAAAAAATTTAAACATTGTGTTTTCTGCTTGCTGTTACATTTTGTGTCTACATCTGTGACTGTTTGGAGAACAAAAAAATAACTTTTCAAATAATTGACCAATGTAAAATGGCATGGCTCAGACCTTGGAGAGGCGGTAGAAGTTGGGGACAAACCAGCATATATTGAACTGCATAATTACTAGGAATATAAAACAGTGGTTTAATTATATAATTGTACTCATGCAGGAATAAACAATTTTCTGAAAACCAACCCTAGACCCTCATAAATGACATATGTCTGAAGCAGGTAGAGTTTATTATTCCTAACTCTGAGGAATTAAAGGCATGTTAAGAGGGCATTTGCTTTTTAAATAATGCACAAGGAAGTATATAACCAGAGGCTACAATAAAAAATTGTATTGAGGTATTAAGAATTGATAAAAAATTGATGAGGTAAGAAGAGTGTCTGACATTGGTCACCCACATTGGTATTTCTATGACACTGTTGGATTTATTCGAGTGAGTCAAATAAAGTTAAAGTTAAAATTAAAGTTAAAGAAATTTGTAGTATGATTTAAACAACTCATTAATAAAATGAATCAGGATAAATCTATGTTAACATAGGGCCTCAGATTTATGGAACAAGATTATTTATAAAAACACATCTCTGCTATTTTTACAATATATTTTGCTTTGCTACTTTTTTTCAACCTTTAAGAGAAGAATGGGAAATATTAATTAAATGGATAAGAGAATTATAATAAATTCAGGTCCAAGTTCTTCTATAGAAGAATAGATTCTTCTATTCCTCATCTATTTAACATTTTGTCGGCTGAACTCTCTGTGCCATTGTGTGACAGATAGAAACAAACAAAAGGAAGAAAGAATTATAAGTAGACATGACATCAAAACTAGCTCAATTCAGAGAAATTGGAAAAAACTGAAACTCACTCAAGTCATATACGTTCAGGATTCGGAGAATTTTACAGGTTTTACTTACCTAACCTCCCTCCAGAGCTGGAATCTGACAGGAATCATTTTCATCATTGAAATATACAAACTTCATAATAAGATAAAATTCTATTATGCATTTTACCACTAATACATCAATAAGTTATTTGCCATTACTTTAATTAAGGTAACAGGAACCAGTATCATATTTTGCCATTTATTATGATATTCAGAGGTTGAGGAAAATCCATTCATGGGATTTTTTTTTAAGCTATCAAATTTGAGGAAAAACCAAAATTCCTAAAGGAAAAAACAAAGAAGTTGATGCAACAGCTTACGTGAATATTCATTCAGTTTTTGTCAAAGACCTAACTTTATTAAACAATAGGAATAACAGTTTATAGAGTCAGACCGATTGAAATATTTTTAGTGGAAAAAAATTATGCAAAACATAAAAGCCAACATTTCCACAAAGTGGATTGTTCTCCTTTAAAAGTCCAAAGACACTCATCTCCAGTTACATTTATAGCCACATTTAATTATCTGACCAAATGAAAGTGAATTATGGAATATCAACATCACATATCTCTATTTTGCAATATGATTCATAGAAAGTGCATGTATATAAAATCAGGTACAAAAAATCGCATTTCCAAATCAGCACATCAATCTTGAATTAGGCAATCGAAATGCACTTGGACAAGTGGAAGAGGCTGAAAGCAGGGTTTCACAGGTGTTGCATAGACTCATGATATGTCTTCCAGTTTTTGAAAGTGAATTCAAATATAAAGAAATAAAAGGAAAACAGCTATTTTCAAATTAACTAATGTGTGTAACTATGCTTTTGGAGAACATCTTGTGGAATTAATAAAGCACTTGTGTAAGTCATATTTGAATTCACTTTATCAAAAAATATCATTATTTATTAAAATTACTTGATCTGAAATATCTTGAAACATCTTGAATGTCTTGAAACACCTCATTCCTTAACCACAATGTGTCTCCCCATTTGAATCTAAACCCAAGTTTGATATTTAGGTGTAAGATCTGGTGTGCCAGTCAATAGGAATTTTTAATATATGGATAAATGTCAGTCTGGCTTTTAAAGAACCTCCTCCAGGGACTTCCCAGGCATCATGGACTCCCCTGTTTCCCAGATCTAGCATCTAGAGTTACATCAAGGGCCAACAGGGAGCCCCAGGTCCCTGCATTCATGTCATCACTACCTTCTCTTATGATTCATCAATGACCATTGTTAAAGTTTCTTGGTTTTTTGTTTGTTTGTTTGTTTGTTTTTGTATGACCACTGAAGAGACCTAGTCTTCACTTGAAATATTTTTGTTTTCCCATGGAGCTGTTGTGTACTAAATATACATAAAACATCCATCTTTGTCATTTTACTTAGTGTGGTTGGATTTTTGGTTGTTGATGAGTGGATTTCTGGTGCAAATATCCTTTAAGCATTGAACCAGCAGATCAGGAGCATTCTGCATATTTAGGGAGAACTGCCTGCGGACAGCTATAGGGCAAGTGAAGAGCCAAGTGGTTCACTTATTTTCCTTTTTTGCTGTATAAATAAGTCTTGACATAAATATCGTACTTTTCTGAGATTATTCATTCAAATTGTAAGTGGTCCTATGAAGATTTCTAAATAGTGAAAATAAAATATGGCTAACCACTTCAAAATTAATCTGTGGATGCATTAAATTTGAATTAAAGTGTATAAAGGTTGGCATGCAACTAAATAAATCAGTCAAGTCAAATACTAAAGGCTAGATTGTGACATAAACTGTGTACAAAATAGGTATCAAAACAATAGAAATAATCTTTCTTTATCACATTCAATATATTTTCTATACATCAGTGTATCACATTCATGGAAGTGATTATTTATGTATATTGATTTTTTTTCATTACAGGTTATTCAGAATTGCTATGATAATTCTTTAATTATCTATCATAAAATTTTATTTTCTTTCCCATTTATTTATTTCTGTAGCATATATGAAATTGAATTCCTAATGGAGATGGATGCAAGTAATTCATTTATAGGTTTGTAAAGCCTGCTTGAGTCACAAAGTTTTAACTGTGATAGACCAGACTACTTCACTATTTGAAGGACAGACTTCCATAGAATTCAGCAGTTTTGGAGATGTTGGTAAGTGGATTTACAGTAATTCTGACTTTTAAAATTTATTTTCTAGGAATACACATTGAATATTTAAAAAGTACCCATTTATTAAATCAAACTTTAGAGAGTGTGTATATGATTCAACAGCAATTAAATATATTATATGATTTTGCTTTATTTATATTAAACACATCATGATTAGTAAGCTTTTGGGTATTATATGTGTGCCTGAGTAGGAGAACAACTCAGAATGGCATAATTTGGTTCATAAAAGGGCCTGTGATTTTAAAGCATTTAAAAAGATTGTCCTATTCTAAAAGGAGAACATAGTCCATAAAATTTGAGAGATCAAATTTAGAGAAGTAAGCCTCAATACTAAAAGACATCCTAGAGCCTAACAGGTAGAAAGAGTTGATATAAAGTGTGCACTTATGTAAGTCAATTTTTTATCACTCTAATAGAAGAAAACATTTTTCTTAACTCGTTAGGAAATTATTATACATTTTTATATATCTTTATATAAAAAGTTACAAGTAGCAAGCGTATGACACAAAGAAATGGAAGCGTAACAGCAATATTCGAGAATGCATGCTTTTTACAATGTGTCTAATAAAAAGGATATTTTTCCAACTCAAATATCCAGTACTGACATGCAGGGTATTTTCTCAAACTGTCAATTCAGTCATATTGCTAAGTGCTTAATCAAAAAACATTTCTACTGATGGGTCTGAATGGTAAATTACCTGATTTCAAAACCTCTTTCTGAAACTTAGTATCTTCCTTTGATATAAAACAAAAAAGAAATTGGGGATATTTGGGAAAGACTAAAAAAAAAATCAGATGTTTCTTATTGCAATCTAGTATTTTTACTCATGACTCTTGGCTGCCTTTAATCATAATACAATAATAGATGTTAAAAGTCCATAAAACCTCTAGCTGATGCTTCCATGGTCCATATTTTCACTTCTTAACTGGAGCATGTTCAAAATCCCTCAGGGACGCACTAGTCTCAAGCAGTCTATCTAATGAAAACAATGTACATGTAACACAAAGTTCATCCAAAATCGTGTTGTTCACATGTCACACAACGTACAATTATATAACAAGGACATTAAAACAACATAGAAACAAAGTGAAACTAACAGTAAAAAGAAAACTTGGGATAGTCTTAATCAGGAACTAATTTCTTCTTCAAGTTTCCAGTAAATCTCAAAATGTATTTAAAAACTAAGGAGCACTTGGTGACCAGCAACCAAATTATGAAATGAACATATCATTGTGCAGCGGGGATGTCTTGCCGAAGGAATAACAAATGTCTCTAATTCTTAAGTTTGGATAAAGGCAGTGGAATGAATTTAGAAATATGTCCACTTTTCACAATTCACTAGAGAATTTTCGTTTCACAGTCCCCATGTTTGTATAAATAGTTCTTCTCTGAAAATAAAACACAGTTAAAACATTTTCTCCCAGTGAAAAATGCATACAAATACACAAATTTATCAAGGTAATATAGAGCATGGAAATGCATTCACCTAATTCAAGAATAGTTGATAGGCTTGAAGTGTTTTGAAGAGTTTAGCTGTCAAGCAAATTTAATTGGAGACAAATTAGTTTAATAGAGATATAGATTATCAAGTGCTAAAAGTAAAGCTCTTATGGTATTTGATCACAAAATAGATGTACACATAGACAACTAGTATTTATGGAACATTTACATTGTTAAGCATTCAAATCTGATATCATAGAATTTGGCATAACATGCTGCACTTAACTTTGATGAAATAAGCTACATATTCATGCAAAAATAAAGAGTGCACACACCGTATAAATACCACCAAACACTTAGTGTATGAATCTGAGTAGAATATTGCCAAATTAAATAAGAAAATTACCAACTGCATGTGTTGGCTTCAGTTATATTGAGACAATATTCCATTGTTTTTGTTATGAAAAACTTGCATTTCTTCTGATATTTTTGCAAATTTACTATTTTCTTATTTTAACCTTAAAATATGTAAAATTTAACTTGCTAATTTAACATCCTTTTTGAAATAACATTCTAGTACAATGCCTGATGATAAGAATATGAACATTTATTTTAAAGATACGTATGCTAAAAGCCATCACTCCATCAGCACCGAATCCAGCATATTTCTGATTATGAAGTATTATGAAACATTTATCTCAAGAGATAATGAAAAAAGAGCACATTCCCTAAAAAAAATCTACAAGACAACTGCAACAAAACAAAACAAAACAGAATACAACAAGGTGGGAGAAGGAACCAAGGGCATTCGCTTACCTTGAATTTTCTTTTTAGACCCTAGTTGTGTTGTATTCAGATTCATGTTTGCTTAGAGACCCAATGAGGCAGAACCTGGAATGTTATGGCTATTTCATTCAACAAAGTAATACTTGCACAAAAAATAAATATGCATACAAATATTTACTTAAAAGCATTCCTAAAAATTCATAAAACTATGGAAATAGATTTTTTTCCATCAGCATGCAAAAATATTAAATCAACTGAAAATATTTTAGGTTTTGAGGATGCATGATGAATTGAGAAAGTATGTCCATTTATAAAACAAACTAAATGCTAGTAAAAATTCAAAACAGGACATATGTATTTTGGGTTTGGGGGTTTAAAATAGATACTTTTTTCCTTAATTAAATTTTCTTTCCCCAAAATTTTTACCAATTTTAGGGCTAATAATATGATACTGATAATATTATCTTTATGTTGAAGATGAATCAAATGTTTCTACTATTTTATCTACATTTAAATATAAATGTTTAGTATTTTACCATACCATACTATTATATGCAATTTGTCATGTAAGTATCATGTGATATGGGGAAAAAAAGGGTTTCGGCATTTTCATTTCATATACAAAAAATATAATACATCATATTGCAAAATACATTATTTTTACATTAAATTATTCAATGAGATGGGCTACCCATCTTGGTAAGGCAGTTATTTCCAAATAGCATTTCATATCTGAAAATATATTAAGTATTGATGAAAGCAAAATTCATGAATATGTGGCAGCAAATTAGCAATACAAATTTATAATATAAATTAAAACCATAATTTTTGTAGAAATAAATACTATATATGTGTAGAAATAAATGAAATATCTTTGGTCTGTGTGTGCTCACACACAAACACCTATGTATATAAATAGGACTTAGAAAGGGTCTGGATAGCATTGAAAAGGAAAAGGGAGAGGAAAAAATTGAGACACTATGGTTTAAATTGTTAATAAAAAGAGAAACTGGAGGCATTTCAGTCTCAGGTTCTAGATGTCATCAAAAAATCTATTGATACTGACCGCTGGACGGCTTTGTCATGGCGGGACAGCCTGTGACTCGTCGTTGGCACCTCCTCGATCTCGTCGATGTCACAGGCATCTGCAGCATCTTGCGAGTAGTTGTGTTTCATGACGAGGATGTTTCTTCTGCTCATGGGCGGGATGAGGGGTTTGATGGGCTGCGGGGGCATCTCTGTCAAGACAGAAGCATCTCTTGTGCTGAGGTTACTGCGGCTGCCTTTCGTACTGGACACTTGTGACCCACAGTGATGGTCGTGAACGCATTTGGAAGAGGATCTCCGCAGTTTATGGTAGTTTTCAAAGTCATCTGCCACATCTGCAAAGTCAGCTGTAGCTGCTGTCCCTCTTAGAGTACATAACTCATAATGAGGAGGTTCAAACACCTCCTGGAAAACTGTCTGGCCAAAGTCCGATTTCCTTTGGACATATTTTTTACGAGGCTGTTTGATCTGCACAATGACAGAAATGATAATAAGGATGATCACAATGCAGGAAGTCACGCCAATGACAGTCCCGCTGGTGTTGCTGAGCTGGTCCAACAGGCTGGTTTTCCTCTTCTCTACAGGTTGAGGAGAGTGAAAACAACAAACAAAACAAGAAACAATCCATCAGGCATTAATATGGTAGTCAGAGCACATAAAAAGGTGTACACTGAGCTGAGAATTTGTACAGGCTTAAGGTAACATGAACAAATCTTTAAAAATAAACAAGAAGCTTCCCTTTTCACAAGGACTCTATCTTTTAAACTTAGAGATAGACCTCCCATTGTCCAGCATCCCTACTTTCAACATACGTTTGAAAAAAGTTCTTACAAGATCTTTAGCAAGATATTTGGAAATAAATTAGTAATGTTAAAAACAGTAAATTATTTTTCTCCTCATAGGTATAAGAAAACATCCAAACTCGACTAGTGGGAACACGACTCTACCTATATTGTTTTGAATTTATTCCTGACTTAAATAACTGAACTCACAATAACACCAATATTCTAATACCAAAAGGTAATTAAATTTCTTGACAGACACTTCTGGAATGGTAGCATGACTCCATCTGTGGGCATTTTCCCCAATGAAACAACCACAACTGGTAAAAATAATTAAAAACAAACAAAAATCTGTATCTATATTTATACTTATATATCTATATCTATACCTATATCTATCTATCTATCATCTATCATCATTTCTGGATATTGTCATAATGGAAACAGCAAATGGAAGTACATTTATTCAGGGAAATTTACTAAATTTCTTTAAAAACAGTGAGAATCTCTGTTTTAAACCCATTCCCTACCCCCACCCCAATTTGCCATGATGGAAGCTTACTTAGGGAGGTTAAAGACAATAGCATAGGGCTTCCTCTCCCTAATGCTCCCCACCTGGAGCTACAGTACCTCCCCAACTGGAGCAAACCACAAGCATCTCTCACCACCCACCAAATCCATAGTATGGGCATGTATTGTATTCTAGACAAGAGAGCCCGAGTTATCAAGGGTTCCATTCTTCCTCCCAGCCCCCATTGGTAGGATGGAAACCCTACACCAGGTGCAGAAGGCTGAGAATATGTGTCTCCCAGCACCCTTGCCCAAGCTCGCTCATAGAGTCGAACTACCTGGAGAGGCAAGCTCAGAAGACAAGAGGTTACCACCCTCACCCAGTACCCTACTCATAAAGCAGAAGTGTTACTCCAAAAGAAGTTGGTCACTATCCCTGCCTCCTTTCAGCACCCAGAGCAATAATGCAGACACTTTGCCAAGGAATGGAGGTGGGCCACAAGAACAGAGAGCACTATAGCTTTCCCCAAAGAAAGTTACATTTTTTGAAACCGTGTGGAAAAGTTCAAGCCTAAGGATATCTCAAAACAACAGACGTTTTCTGGGAAGTGATTTAAGAGGAGACTGTCAAGCTCCACAGTAGCAATGAGCCAGACACTAGAACAGGTAGAAATTTAACATAAAATACCAGGAAAATAACAGGTAAAGAAAGCCCTCCTAGTTTAGAACAAATCACAACGCCTAGACTCAAAGACTAACCCGCAAAGACTCAAAGACCAACTAAAGGAACTGAATTTAATTGGAACAATTTACACTCCTGGGAACTGTCCAAAATGACAGAAAAATCATTTGGCAATTAATAGAGACTAATAGCTGGGTGTGATAAAAAAGACAGACAAATAAACAGGACAGGAAAAGGATGGTCAGAGAGTGTCTTACTAAACCATGACCATCTGAGGCTATGGTATGCTTGCCCACAGCATGGTCTCCATGCAACACTATCAGTGACAGACATCGCTGAAACAGGCCAGCCAACTCTACACTGACAAACACACACACACACACACACACAAAACGATAGCAGCAACAAGCCCTGGGGAGAGAGGAATTAGTATCCAGAATTGCTACAATACATTATCTAACGTGAAGTTTCCAATAAAATATCCCAAGCATATAAACAAATGGTTTAATGCAATTCATACACAAGAGGAAAAAAGCCTAGGAGAGGGCCAGACATCAGACTTAACAGACAATGATTTGTTACAAATATGTTCAAGGAACTAAAGGAAATAATGGCTAAGGAAGTAAAGAAAAATAGGAGAACAAGGTTTTATCATATGCAGAATAGCAACATAGAAACAAAAATTACACGAAAGAAAAAAGTGAAAAATCTAGAGTTGAATGGCACAGTTGCTGAAATAAAAACTTGATTTGAGTGACTCAGCAGCACATTTCAGCTGAAAGAGGAAAGTAGCAGCAAACTTGAGGAGAGATGAAGGAAAATTATGCAATCTGAAGAAGACTAAGATCAAAAGATGCAGAAAAATGAACAGAGCCTCAGAAAATGAGACATACCATCAATGGTACCAACCTAATGGATGAGAGTATAAGAAGGAGAGAAAGTAACAGAAAAATATTCAAATAAATAAATAAAAGGTGAAAACTCCCCAAATTTGGTGAGCAAATTCCATCCAAGAATTTCAACAAATTCTTAGTAAGATAAAAGAACTGATACCCACACTCTGACCTATAAGATAAAAAATGTTGCAAGAGAAAATCTTGAAAGCAGCAAGGAAAAAATAACTCCTCACATAGAAACGAACCCCAATCAAATTAATAGCTGATTTATCATTAGAGATTTTGGAGGCCAGAAGACAGAGGCATGACACATTCAAAATGCTGCAGGCCAAAAATCCAAAACAAAAACCATTGATCAAAAATCTAATATCCAGCATACTAACTTTCAAAAATGGGGATAAAATACACATTTCCAGGTAAACAAAACTAAAGATAATTTAATGCTGAAAAAATGCCTTAAAAGAAATATTAAAAGAAATTATTGGGATTGAAAGTAAGTGACTTCAGACCCTAATTCAAACCCAAATTAAAAAATAGAAAGCAAATTAAAGAGGCAAGTAAATATTGCCAATAAAGGCCATTATATGCATAATTACAAAGGACTATATAGTTACATATATCTTTGACATTCTTCCCTTAACTTCTTAAAAGAGTAATGTCATATGTATAAAATTGTAATCTTGGGCCTATAACTTAAAGAAATAGTAAATGTTTGGTATTAACAATACAAGTGATGTAGGTAGGAGCAAAATTGTCCTAGAATAAGAAGTGACATCAGATGGGAATGTGAATCTACAAAAACAAAAGAAGAGAATCATAAACGGTAAAGAAGAAGTGTTATGTAATGAACTACATGAATATGCTCTTGCTCTAAAATTATGTAAAGTAATAATTACAGCGATGTATTCTTTGATTTGAAAATACAGAAAAATAATATGGACAAAAGTAACAGGTAAATAGAAAGAGAACAGAGCTATATTGAAATAATGTTATTAAATTAGTATAAATCTGCAATGCATTCTGAGAAGTTAGGCTGTGTGTTATAAGACCTAAAGTAATCACTAAGAAAATAACTCAAAAAATACATTAAAAGTCATTAAAGGAATTAAAATGTTACACTAGAATGTATTCACTTATAGCAAAAGAGACCAATAAAAGAAGAAAAGAGGAACAAGAATATGTGGACATAGAGGGGAAAAGAAGTAAAGTGGCAGATGTAAATCCAAATATACATCAATATCACCACTAAATATGAGTGGATTAAACAATCCAATCAAAAGGCAAATATTTTCAGACTGGATAAAAAAATAAGATCCAACTGTATACTGTCTACAGAAAACATACTCTATATTCAAAGATACAGATGGACTGAAAACAAAAGGATGGAAAAAGATTGAGTATACAAACTGCATTTAGAAGAAAGCTGGAGTGGATGTGCTAACATTATACCAAATAAAACAAAAAGTGATCGGTTTTTAATGATCAATAAGAGGGCCAAGCCATCAGAAAAATACAACAATTTTAAACATATATGGACATAACAACTAAGCTCAAAAATACATAAAGTGAAAATTTACAGAAGTAAAGAAAGCAGAAAATTCAACCATAATAGTTGGAGAATTGAACAGGTACTTTCAAAAATAGATAAAATATAAAGTATCATGTCATCTGCAAAGAGAGAGTTCGACTTCTTCATTGCCAACTTGAATACTTTTTTCTTTTTGTTGTCTGATTGCTGTTGCTAGGACTTCTCATACTATGTTGAACAAGAGTGATGAGAGTGGACATCCTTCTCATGTTCCTGATCTCAAAGGGAAGGCTGTCAGTTTTTCCCCACTGAGGATGATATTTGCTGTGGGTTTTTCATAGATAGATTCTATGAAGTAGAGGAATGTTCCCTCTATCCCTACACTTTGAAGGGTTTTAATCAGGGAACAGATTCTGTATCTTGTCAAATGCTTTTTCTGCATTGATTGAGAGGACCATGTGGTTCTTCTCTCCTCTCTTACTGATTTGTTCTATCACATTGATTGATTTTGCGAATGTTGAACCACCCTTGCATCCCATGGATGAATCCCACCTGGTCATGGTGGATAATCTTTTTAATGTACTGTTGGATCCAAAGATAAACTGAAAATGGATAAAAGACCTCAATGTGAGGCAGGAATCTATCAAAATCTTAGAGGAGAGCAAGGCAGTAATCTCTTTGACATTGGTCACAGCAACTTCTTTCAAGATATGTCTCCAAAGGCAAAGGAAACAAAAGCAAACAAAAACAACAAAAAAAAATGAACTTTTGAGACTTCATCAAGATCAAAAGCTTCTGCACAGCAAATGAAACAGTCAACAAAACAAAGAGGCAACCCACAAAATGGGAGAAGATATTCGCAAATGGCACTACAGACAAAGGACTGATATCCAAGATCTATAAAGAACTCCTCAAACTCAACATACACAAAACAGATAATCACATCAAAAAAACGGGCAGAAGACATGAACAGACACCTCTCCAAAGAAGACATACAAATGGCTAACAGACACATGAAAAAATGTCCATCATCATTAGCCATCAGGGAAATTCAAATCAAAACCACATTGAGATACCAGCTTAAACCAGTTAGAATGGCCAAAATCAACAAGACAGTAAATAACAAGTGTTGGAGAGGATGTGGAGAAAGGGGAACCCTCTTACACTGTTGGTGGGAATGCAAGTTAGTGCAGCCACTTTGGAAAACAGTGTGGAGATTCCTTAAGAAATTAAAAATAGAGCCTCCCTATGACCCTGCAATTGCACTACTGGATATTTATTCCAAAGATCCAGATGTAGTAAAAGAAGGGCCATCTGTGCCCCAATGTTCATAGCAGCAATGGCCACAGTTGCCAAACTGTGGAAAGAGCCAAGATGCCCTTCAATGGACGAATGGATAAAGAAGATGTGGTCCATATATACTATGGAATATTATGTTTTCATCAGAAAAGGATGAATACCTAACTTTTATATCAACATGGACAGGACTGGAAAAGGTTATGCTGAGTGAAATAATTCAAGCAGAGAGAGTCAATTATTATATGGTTTCACTTACTTGTGGAGCATAAAGAATAACATGGAGGACATTAGGAGAAGGAAAGGAAAGGTGAACTGGGGGAAATTGGAGGGGGAGACGAAGCATGAGAGACTGTGGACTCTGAGAAACAAACTGAGGGTTTCAGAGGGGTGGGAAGTGGGGGGGTTGGGTGAGCCTGGTGGTGGGTATTAAGGAGGGTACATATTGCATGTAACACTGGGTGTGGTGCATAAACCATGACTGTTGGAACACTGAAAATAAATTAAATAAAATAAAATGGAAAAATAAATAAATACCTGGATCAGTCTATACCTGAACTGGACCCACTGACAGAGTCTTCAGTTACATACCAAATATATAATTGATCTTTAACAATGCAGGGGTTAGGGACATGATCCACGTGTTTTTAAAAATCCATGTACAACTCTGACTCCCCCAAAAGCTAACTACTAACAGCCTTCTGTTGACTGGAAACCTTATGATAATGTAAATAGTTGATTAACACTTAATTTGGTGGTGGGTATTAAGGAGGGCACCTATTGCATAGAGCACTGAGTGTTGTGCATAAACAATGATTTTGGAACACTGAAAAAAATAAAATAAAATAAAACAAAAATAAAGTTCAAATGTAAAAAAAAAGATAAAATATGGTAGAAAATGAAAACAGAAACTGAAAACTTGAACAATGCTGCAAACCTACATCTCTAGAGCAAGCCACCTAATAATGGCAACATGCATTCTTTTCAAGGGCACATGGGACATTTTTTAGGATACACCCTATGTTAGCCTGTGGTACTAACTCCAATAAACTACAGGTAGGCCTCGTTTCCTCGCATGTCACCTTGTTACACTTCACAGATACTGTTTTTCAACAACTGAAGGTTTATGGCAATCCTGCATCAAGGAAGTCTATCAGCACCCTTTTCCCAATAACATTTGCTCACTTTGTTTTGCTGTGTCACATTTTGATAATTCTTGCAATATTGCAAACATTTTCATTATTACTATATTTATTACAGTGACCTGTGACCACAGATTTTGACTTGCTGAAAGGTTTTGTGATGACTAGCAGTTTTTACCAGTAAGTACTTTTTAATTAAGCTGCATAATGCATTGCCTCTATACACATACTGCTATCACATCCTTAATAGACTACAGTGTAGCATAAACAAATTTTATATCCGCTAGGAAACCAAAAAATTCATTTGACTTGCTTTATTGCTACATCAGCTTTATTGTGGTGGTCTAGAATGGAACCCGCAGTATCTCTGAGAGTAGCCTATCACAAAGATAGAAGTGATAAAGGTGTGTTCCCTACAAGAGAATGAAGTAGAAATCAAAATAGTGGTCTTGCCATCTGGAGAAGATAAACATGGAAGCTCATAAAACCTATCCATTCACATTCTCTTCACTTCTCTCTCATGTCAAATGGTCCTATATATGTAGGAACAAATCCCATTGGGCAAATAAAGCTTATGACTACCAATCATTAATGATGCTGATTTAAGGTTCTACTACACAGATAACTTACTTTCCCATCCATTCAGAAGTGGTTCCTTAAGTAATCACCTACTCCCACCATCAAAATAATCAAGGCTGCATATGCCTTTCTCCTTGACCATGAACCATGCCTACTATGGTGATGCCTCTTGGCTTCCATCCACAGAACATATTTTAATAGACAATACTGGACTTGAAGCATGAAAGGGTTAATTGTCTGTTCTTTTTCCTTTACAAATCAGTTAATATTGAACCTGAATAAAAGAATATGCCTGGCATTTTTCAGCTTAACTAAAACACGCAACATTCATAGCCAACCCATGGATTGTTATCTACATAAACAAACCTTTGTGTTCAAGCTAGAAAAGGGAGCAGGGACATTGGGAGCTATTTTCATTGGAAAGGAAGAAAAGCATTTTGGTAGCAAAACTGAAGTCAAGTTAAGTGGCTGGAAGTACCTGAAAGCACAAAGGTTCCTTTAGTGCACCTTTCCCCTAGAGTACGTGCACACAGTCCAGAGAAGACAGACTGGTGAGAGGTGCAGGTGCAGAGGAAAGGCACCAGGTCTGACAGGAAAAACACGCCGCACTAAAAGCTGCCTTTCCTCTCCAGGGCTCTGCAGGCGCTAACAAGGTGTCTTTAATGAGCATTCAAATGTGAAAGATTCTCTACTATACATTAATGAATAAGGAAACTTCTGGCAAAAGCAAAGAAAGACGTTTACACATGAATTACAAAATATACAGGAGGCTCCACAAAGCCCAGATGCGTGTCAATTTTCAAGTTACTCTGATACATTTCCACAGCCTAATAAAGGCTTCCCACTCTACAGGCAGAGGACTTCTGCACATTTTTGATCATTACCTTTACAGTGATTCTCGTCCCAAGGATACACACAGTTCTGGAGTCCATTGCAGACCAGTGTATTGTTAATACACATGTTACTGTGGCAGAAGAATGTATTGCCTTCACAGGGAGCTAAAGATAAGAGAAGGAAAGGAAAATGAAGAAAAAAGTTAGACCTGATACTCAGTAGTAAGTCACTCATATTGCAAATCTAAAAACAAAAAGAGTAGAATGATAATTTCTTGTCAAATTGAGATAAATCACCAAACATTCTGTTCTCAGAAGTGCTGCCATTGTGGTAATTATTCCTTGTGTTGCTAACAGGGCTGGCACTTCTCTAGATGTGCTTAGTTTATAAAACTGGCGCAGGGGGTTTCCATCATAAAAATGAAGTACATTATCTATATGGGTCTTTTTTCTTTGACTCGGTGCATTCATTTAACAAAAATAAAGTGCCTGCTACATGGATAACGCTATGCTTTACACTGAAATTCTGTCTGCACAAATGTAGTATCATGCAAAAAGTCTTCATTGAAGTCATTGCGTGAAGCACAGACTTGCAAAATACTAATGAAGAAAGTATGTATCAAACATCCTTATAGCATCACCCAAGAACATGAGCAAAACAAAGAATGCCACGGAAATTCAGAACAAGGAAAATTAATCCTGAACAACATAAGAAAAATGTACTGTTCTTATCAACGTTTAACATATGCATGGTGATGAAATTAGCCTACTTTGCATGTATTTCACACATCCTAGTAACTCTAGGTACAGTGATCCATGATCTCAGGTTGCAATGTACACTCAGGGTGCTGGGAGGTAAGATAAGAACACAGGGAAGGTATCCAATACATAGATATGAGAAATAGTGAGGAGTTTGACACAGCAAAGTGTAACATTAGATATGACTTCAATATTAGGAAATACATTTATTTATCAAAGTAATAGGATGTTTACAATCATCAGTCTCTGGAATAACAGTGAATTTGGGATGGTAGTTTATAGATCATGCTTTACAGCTAATTTTTGTTTTTACCTTCACAGTGATCCCACCTATCTTATAAAATGTGACCTTAGTGTTTCATTATTTCTCAATAATAGTTCTAAAACCCTTTTAAGGATAGATTCTAGAAAAACATATTCAATATAAAAAACAACATTTACAGTGGCTAATCAATGAGTAAATATTTATCAATGATCAGTACTACTTAAATGCCAGTCACGTGGTAATGACTCTTTCATCTTCAAGACTATATATATCATGGGTATTTTAGAAAGTTAAATGTATTTGTTATACTAATCAAAAATGTCAGGCAAATAATTTGCATATTGCAACTTAACGTATTTTAACACACCTAGAGAAATCCTAACAATAGTAATAACAACAACAAAAAAAAAAACCAAAAACACTCAAGTCTTGAAAATAAAAAAATACGGCAAAGATAGAGCTAACTCAAGCAAAGTGACTCCTTCTGGATCTCCACAACCCTGCCTCCACACTCTTCCCTCGCCCTTCCCAGAAGGACAGTTCCTTCTTCCCTTGGCTTGGTTTGACTTTAGGTCCCCGGCTAAAGATTTAAAAATGTGCGGTGGTCATTTTGAAAAAACAAAAAACAAACAAAAAAAAAACAACAAAACATATTGTAGAGTAGAAAATGTACAGTAGTCATTTTGAAAAGAAAGTATCATGCTAAATATGGGCTGGTGACTTGTTAAGCATCATATAAGCCTTTTATAATGTAAAATTTAATGATCTGATATATGATTGCAAAAATCTGCTCTTTAGTAAGGAATGAAATTTAAATTTCTGTATTCAGAAATGGCTTTCGCAGAACTGATATGGTCTGTTAAGCAGATAATGAATGTTGTCAAAATGTGCGCATAGAACAAGAAGGAGTTTTCTGCAAATGGAGTAGCTGCAAAATGCCTTAGTAAAAAACAAATAAAAAAATAAATAAATAAGTATGCCTTAATAGATTGGGGTGGTTCTGAAAGTACAGTTATCCGTCAAGTAAAAAAAAAAAATTACCTTTAAGAGGGCATAAATTTTATTGCCCTTCCAGAATAAGTTGGAAAAATTGCTACAATTACTATTAAGTAGGATGGGTTAGTTTTTAAAATTTTAAGTATGTAAATAAAAATGACATTGGATTCTGTAATTGAATGCAATACAAGAGAATATTGGTAAGAGCGCTGAAACCTGAATTGTGAATTCTCCAAATGGGATTTTGTTTTTAGTTCTGCTGGTTTGTAAGTTGTGAACGTCTCTTATAAACCAATGTACCAGTATCAGATATGGTTAAATATTGGTGGTTTGACTAGTAACCTAACAGGTAATCAGGACTGCCAAGAAATCACATTCCTGACGTACTTCTTTACATCAAGTGATTAGGGAAATGTGCCAGTTAATCATCTCGTTCTTTCCAATTATTATTATTCTAGGTACCATTCCATCTTCTTCTTCTTACTTTTGCCAGAATTTACAGAATTGCTATGAAAATGACAAACACAAATAAAGAAGCAAATCTTGCAGTGGGTAAGAAACAAATGTATAACAACTTATATTGGGTTCTGAATGTTCTTGTATGTCTGACTATTTCTCTCACATAAATGCACATAGGCAATGGTTCATTAAAGATCTTATTTCTACCTCCCACTCAAAAGACAAAATGGCACCTTCCTGCCTCCCAAAGCAAGCTATGTTCTTATTGTGCTTTTGAGGATGTCTGGACACATTCTACACACTGACATTATTTCCCATGACCCTCCGCACATTCCGGATATCTGTGGCTCAGAGGCCAAATATGTTCCTCCCCTCTCTCTGTCCTGCAATATCCATTCTCCACTCTGCTATCCAAATCGTATCAGCACTGTATTCTCTGTGCAGTTTTGAAATATTATTCCAAGCTACCAAGAAAATTATCTTTTTCTTAAATCCTATTATACTTAAAATTTTCAAAAGAGCTTAGCACATAGCATATGCTTATCATCTTTCCCAACATGTTCTTTGAGACTAAGGGCATGCCTCTTAAAAATGTTCATTTTTAATCTGTCATATGGTTTAACATTTCTAGGCTTATAGTAAATATTCAACAGATACTTTTAATTGATTACTGTTCCTGAGCAGAAGGTTAACTCTGGAGGTGCCTGGGTGGTTCAATTGGCTAAACATCTGACTTTTGATTTGGGCTCAGGTCATGGTCTCAGGGTCTTGGGATTAAGCCCCGTGTCAGGTTCCACACTCTGCATGGAGACTGCTTGTCCCTCTCCCTCTGCTCCTCCCCCTGCTCTCTCTATCTCTCTCTCAAATAAATAAATAAAATCCTTAAAGAAGAAAGAAAGAAAGAAAGAAAGAAAGAAAGAAAGAAAGGGAGAGAAAGAAAGAAAGAAGGAAGGAAGGAAGGAAGGAAGGAAGGAAGGAAGGAAGGAAGGAA